ACATCACCAGGGTCATCTCGTCTGATCTTAAACCGCAATGCACCGCATACCGGGCATGCGTTCAAATCCTCATACGCACCGCGGTAGAGGATGCAGTCATTAGGGCATGCATGTATCCTCATCTCCTTCAATCCTAGAGGGCATACGACCTTCTTTGCTGCGTACGTACTGCCGGGCAATTTGTTATCCTTTGGAAGCTTCTTCTTCAATATATTCAGTAGCTCCTCAAATCCTTTGTCAGGCACAACATTCTCTGCCTTCCACTGCAGCAATTCCAGTATGGTACCGAGCTTTGTGTTGCCTGATACATCTCCAACGTATCTATAATTTTTAATTGTTTCATGCTATTATATTATCAACCTTGGATGTTTTATATGCATTTATATGCTATTTTATATGATTTTGGGGACTAACCTATTAACAAAGAGCCCAGTGCCAGTTTCTGTTTTTTCCTTGTTTGTGAGTATCGCAAAAAAGGAAAACCAAACGGAGTCCAATTGACCTGAAACTTCATGGAACTTATTTTTGGACCAGAGGAAGGCCATGGAGTAAAAGAGTTGGGCCAGAAGAGTCCCGGGCTACCCATGAGGGTGGGGGCGCGCCCACCCCCCTGGGCGTGCCTCCCTACCTCGTAGACAGGCCGGAGACCCCCCTGACTTGTTCCCGACTCCAACACCTCTTATATAACCCAAAACTTTCAGAAAGAAACCTAGATCAGGATTTCCGCCGCCACAAGCCTCTGTAGCCACCGAAAACCAATCTAGAGCCATTCCGGCACCCTGCCAGAGAGGGGGATCCCTCTCCGGTGGCCATCTTCATCATCCCGGCGCTCTCCATGATGAGGGAGTAGTTCACCCTCGGGGCTGAGGGTATGTACCAATAGCTATGTGTTTGATCTCTCTCTCTCTCGTGTTCTTGATTTGGCACGGTCTTGATGTATCGTGAGCTTTGCTATTATAGTTGGATCTTATGATGTTTCTCCCCCTCTACTCTCTTGTAATGGATTGAGTTTTCCCTTTGAAGTTATCTTATCGGATTGAGTCTTTAAGGATTTGAGAACACTTGATGTATGTCTTGCATGTGATTATCTGTGGTGACAATGGGATATCATGTGATCCTCTTGATGTATGATTTGGTGATCAACTTGTGAGTTCCGTGACCTCGTGAACTTATGCATAGGGATTGGCACACGTTTTCGTCTTGACTCTCCGGTAGAAACTTTGGGGCACTCTTTGAAGTTCTTTGTGTTGGTTGAATAGATGAACCTGAGATTGTGTGATGCATATCATATAATCATACGCACGGATACTTGAGGTGACATTGGAGTATCTAGGTGACATTAGGGTTTTGGTTGATTTGTGTCTTAAGGTGTTATTCTAGTACGAACTCTTGAATAGGTCAATCAGAAAGAATAACTTTGAGGTGGTTTCGTACCCTACCATAATTTCTTCGTTTGTTCTCCGCTATTAGTGACTTTGAAGTGACTCTTTGTTGCATATTGAGGGATAGTTATATGATCCAATTATGTTATTATTGTTGAGAGAACTTGCACTAGTGAAAGTATGAACCCTAGGCCTTGTTTCCTAGCATTGCAATACCGTTTGTGCTCATTTTTATCATTAGTTACCTTGCTATTTTTATATTTTCAGATTACAAAAACCTATATCTATCATCCATATTGCACTTGTATCACCATCTCTTCGCCGAACTAGTGCACCTATACAATTTACCATTGTATTGGGTGTGTTGGGGATACAAGAGACTCTTTGTTATTTGGTTGCAGGGTTGTTTGAGAGAGACCATTTTCATCCTACGCCTCCCACGGATTGATAAACCTTAAGTCATCCACTTGAGGGAAATTTGCTACTGTCCTACAAACCTCTGCACATGGAGGCCCAACAACATCTACAAGAAGAAGGTTGTGTAGTAGACATCATTGCCATCTTCGCAATTGGGATACAACCCTTTTTTGTGATCCTCTAACGTGCGATCGAACTTCAGCTTCTTCTTTTGACTTTCGCACTGTGTCCTTGCATCAACAATGACCCGGCGGAGATCATCATCATCGGGCACATCGTCTGGTTCCTCTTGATCTTCAGCAGCTTCCCCCGTTGCAGCATCACCGTATTCAGGGGGCACATAGTTGTCATCGTCCTCTTCTTCTTTGTTGTCTTCCATCATAACCCCTAATTCTCCGAGCTTGGTCCAAACATTATAGTGTGGCATAAAACCCTTATAAAGCAGGTGGGTGTGAAGGATTTTCTGGTCAGAGTAAGACTTTGTATTCCCACATATAGGGCATGGACAACACATAAAACCATTATGCTTGTTTGTCTCGGTCACTTCGAGAAAATTATGCAGGCCCTTAATGTACTCGGAGGTGTGTCTGTACATCCATTGTCGGTTTATCTGTGTGCATTATATATAATTATGTGTGTAAAAAACCATTACAGATTCACATGGATAGATAAGCGACCAAATTAATAGAAGTTCATCATCACATTAAAACCAAAGTACATACATAGTTCTCATTGAACAACATATAGCTCTCCAGAGTATCTAATTAAACCATACATTGAAACTATGTAAAACCTTTCAATGCAACAACAAATGCAATCATAATCACAACCAAGGTAACAATTGATCCAACGGCATAATGATATCAAGTCTCGGTATGAATGGCATATTTTTTAATCTTTCTAATCTTCAACTGTATTGCATCCATCTTGATCTTGTGATCATCGACGACATCCGCAACATACAACTCCAAAATCATCTTCTCCTCCTCAAATTTTTTTATTTTTTCCTTCAAGTAATTGTTTTGTTCTTCAACTAAATTTAACCTCTAGAAAATAGGGTTGGTTGGAATTTCCGGTTCACATACCTCCTAGATAAACAAAATCTATGTCACGTTGGTCGGCATAATTGTCATAAACAATAAATGAAACAAATAGTTATAAAAAATAATATATACCACATCTGAATCATAGCCAGGACGAGGGCCGACGGGGGCCGATACCAAAACCATCGCACTATACGATAACAAGCAATATAAAAGTAAGAAAATTAGATAAGTATCTATCTAAAGTAAGAAAAAAAATTCTTTCAGAAAGAAGATAAGAACAAGAGGCTCACCACGATGGTGTCGACGACGAGATCAGCGCGGGCGATCGACGGCGGTGAAGACGGGGACGGGACGTGACGGACCGCTAAACCTAGACAAATCTTGGGGAAAATGGAGCTTGGAGGTCGAGCTTCGAGAGGAGAAAGCTTAACTAGTGTGGCTCGGGCATTTCATCGAACACCTCATGTGCATAGGAGGTGAGCTAGAGAACCACAAAGCTCTCCCCTTGTCGGCCAGAAAAACAGAAGTGGAGTGCTCTGCTCGCGGGCGAGGGGTATATGTAGCCACCTCATTGGTCCCGGTTCGTGGCTGAAACCGGGACTAAAGGCACCCCTTCTGTCCCGGTTCTAGACACTAACCGGGACCAATGGCTGTGGGCCAGGAGCGACGACCATTGGTCTCGGTTCGTGCCTAGAACCGGGACAAATGAGTCCACACGAACCGGGACAAATGCCTCCCGAGGCCCGGCCGGCCCCCTGGGCGCACGAATTGGGACATATGCCCCCCATGGGTTCTGGTTCGTGACTGAACCGGGACTAATGGGCTGGCCAGGGCCTAACCAAAGCCCTGTTTTCTACTAGTGACGCATATGATGGGTAAACAAATTACTGTTGAGCAATTGATAGAAAAACGCAAAGTTATGACGATATCTAAGGCAATGATCATGAATATAGGCATCACGTTCCTAACAAGTAGACCGACTCCTGTCTGCATTTACTACTATTACTCCAGAGATCGACCGCTATCCAGCATGTATCTAGTGGATTAAGTTAACAAGAACGGAGTAATGCCTTAAGCAAGATGACATGATGTAGAGGGATAAATCCAATCAATATGAAATAAACCCCATCGTTTTATCCTTAATGGCAACAATACAAATATGTGCCTCGCTAGCCCTTTTATTACTGGGTAAGGGCACAACAAGATTGAACCCAAAACAAAGCACATTTGCACAAATAAATATGTGTGCAAATGTAATGGTACAAATGTGTAACTGGGTCAACATCTCCTTTTTCAGTAACCAATTGATAGTCAATTAACGAACAGCTAGCGATGGCAACATAATCCATCCATTCTAAAATACATGTCACATCTTTTTTGCAAAAATCCTTTTATTGACAATTTATGCCGTGTATTCTAGAACACATGGAAACCGGTGCAAATTTTGATCTGGAACCGAGAATTTTTTTACTAGTTTAAATTGACATTTCTTAGAACTTAAATGTTGGAATTTTTCCTTTTCCTAGGGCATTCCATGTATACTAGTATTGTGTTGTATCGTTTATTTGTTGAGAACTCAAAAATCTAATTGAAATTAAATGTTAAGAATTTTTATATTTCCTATGTACAATTTGATGGGACCTTCATGTTTGTTCTCTTGATTTGTCTGATTTTAAAAAATCTATTGGGGGTTTTTTAGAATGAAAATCTATTGGGTTTTTAAGGGATGTCGATTTGTCTCATGTTGTCCTATAGAATGATGCAAAAGGAGCTCTTACTATAAAATTCCTAATGGTCCAAATTCTGCAAAAATCATATGAAATTCCTTTGAATCAAAGGAGTCCTTACTGTTGTTAGTGTGGTATTGTCGGTTTTGAATCAAAGGAGTCATAATAATAGTACTAGCATATATACTTTGCCCATCTCCACCTCCACGACAGAAGCATCACAGCTCCATGAGCGCCAGTGACAGTGGTGGAGTAAACCAGTCCAAGAACAGCTGCTTAATTATCATATTACACCCTGCATTGCCTCATAATAACCCCAGCCTAAACCATCTCTCGCCGATCCTCCCCACAGTAATACCGCCATAATCCAAGGGGGCAAACCAAAAAGAAGCACCAAAAGCACAGACCCTCGCCGTCGCCGCCGGTGCCTACAGGCAGAAGCAGCCGCCGTTGTACTTGCCGCCCTTCATCTGCTCGCCGACCTTCCTCACCGTCACCGACGACGGCGCGCACGGCGTCCACTCCGCCGCCAGCCGCACCCTCGCCAGCCACCACCACCCGCTCCCGCCCCCACGCTTCCTCCTCGCCGACGCCTGCGCGGCCGCGGCCTCGGCGGCGAGGCGGCGGTTCTCGGCGCGGAGGCGTTCGATCTCGGCGACGCCGGCCTTGCGCTCGGCCTCCCAGGCGGCCATGGCCTCGAAGCACTCCCGGTTGCGGAGCTCCAGCCCGTACACCTGCGCCTGCAGCGCCTCCACCTTCCGCCCGAGGATGCACGCCCGGTGGTCGTCCCGCAGCTTCACGGCCAGCCGGGCCAGGTCGGCCGCGCGGCGGCGCGTGTAGCCGAGCTCGGCTGCGGCGGCCGCGGCCTCCTCCTCGGCGGCGGAGGCGCGGAAGGCCAGGCGCGCGTTCTCGCCCAGAAGGACCAGGCGCTCCGACTCGAGCACCTCCAGCAGGCTCCCCTGCAGGTCGATCTTGCGCGCCGACTCGGCCCTCCGGCGGTCCGCCTCGTCCGCCAGCAGGTCCCGGTCCACCCACGCCATCACCAGCTCCGCCACTACCAGGTCGCCGTCAACGGCCGGAGCAGCAACCGGAGTTGCGAAATGATCATCGGTGACTCCGGCGTGGGGCTGGAAGGAGAGGGAGCTGCCGGCGTCCGAGGAGCGGTCATCAACGTCGGAGGAGCAGTCGGAGCTGAGGTTGAGGTGGTGGGAGTGGAAGTGGGCAGACGACTTGGCGTTGGCGTTGGCGAGGAGGGACTGAGCGTAGCGGTCGGCGAGGTAGAGGTAGCGGTGGTGGAGGTCGGTGAGGAGCGCGAGCAGCTGCGGGCGGCGGTGGTAGTAGTTCTCGGCGCGCTCGGCGAAGGAGTGGTCCGCGGCCGCCGCCGCCGCGTCGTCGTCCGGCACGCCGGCCGCCAGCGCGCGCACGCGCTGCTCGATGTCTGCACGTAGAGCATCCATACAGTTTTTCGCATTAGAGAAAATGGATGCATGCATGCATGCAGCAACTAAAAATTCTTTGAGATTAATTAATCTGGACTAATTGAGAGATGGGTAATTCACTGGGATAGATTGTTACAGTACCACGCTGGTAGCAGCCGTGGCATTTCAGAGAGAGATATGCAAGGATAAAAACAAAGGAAAAAAAAGTGTGGAGTGTGAAGTGACAGTGCCGGCCCGTGACACGACGGCTCGTCTGCTGGCCGTGTCTTGGATTTTTCACTGCGGGCGGGCGGCCTGCCGGTGAAAGGGTTGACCCAGAATGATGGGTTTCTTTGCCAACTTGGTCACGTACAGACGCACCACTAGTAGACCAGTAGCAATATATATTCTTTTCTTTCTAGCGTATGCATGCATGGTTTTGAGGTGGGCGTACGTGGAGTTCAAAATTCGAAATCCGGCCGGAGAAGGTGGCGAAAGTGAGCAAGGAAGAATCCAACCAAAGCAAGCCGAGGCAGGCAGAGGATGAGGATGAGGATGAGAGATTCCCGGACGAGGAGCTAGTGAACAAACAAACAAATGAAGAAAAGGAAGAGACACAGGTCGCTAGTGTACAATCTGGTCTCGTTCTCAGCTACAGATTAGTGACAGTAGGTAGTCGGGCACGGGGTGCAGCCGCACAGGTCATCTCGTTTTGACAATCTTGTGGGCACGCGTTCATACTACATACTGGAACAGTCTCGTGTCGGTGCCCGTGCCCGTGCCCGTGCCGAGCCGAGGCACCGCACGGCCGGGCCATGAACCTCTCTTCACTTGTACCCAGCGGAGGGACGAGCACGAGCACTGGCATCACTCGCTGCTCGCCACAGTGATGCTACCACTACTTCGTGGCCGTAGGTGAGTTGAGAATCCTCTGAGCGCGGCAGGCATTAATGCGCATCATCTCTCTCTCGCTCATCACTACTGTGCTAGTACGTGGTACGTGGTAGTACCACTGTGCGACATAGTAGCTAGCTTGATCGGCGGCATGGGTCAGGCAGGCAGGCAGGAACAACAAGAGTACCCTCTGAGAGAGAGAGAGAGAGAGAGATAGAGAGAGAGAGAGAGAGAGAGAGAGATGTGAGAATCTAGCGCGATCTCTCTTGTGACCAGAGCGAACCCAAGTGTGGTGTGTTTACTACTCCAGCAGGCAGCAGGCACGCACAATAATCAATCGCCACTTTCACTGCAGCGAGCGATCGCACGCATTTATCCCCCGTGAGCACGTACGGCGGGCATGCCGCTGGTACAATGCTACCACGAAATGAAGCCGCCCACGCCCATCGATCAGCCTACGCCTACGCCTACGCTCGTGAAGAAGAAACAGTGGGCGGCATGGCACTTCCGCGTACTACTACGGCCCCGTTTGGATCATGGGGTTAGAGCTAGTTTCGGTTAGTTGGAGGCTCAAATCTCAAATAACCCAAAAGTATCCAAACAGAGAGGGTTAGAGTGGGTTAGTTTCATCTAATCCAACTATCCTGATGGAGAGGTGCTTATTTGAGTTAGAGTGGGTTAGAAAATAAGAGCTTACGTGTTGATGAGAGGAGGAGAGGAGAGGGATCGTGACATCACCTGCGATGGCCGCCTGGAGCCACGGCGGGCACGTGCGACCCTCCTGCTCCTGCTGATGCAACATCATCTTCTCCAAGCCAGGCCAAGCCACGGCAGGGCCCGGCGAAGAAGCTGGGTTGGGGAAGGCGCCTGGCACAAGCCAAACCCCAGGCCACGCCGCACGTCGCTCGCTCGTGAACACCAGCTTTCTCCAGCGCTAGTCACGTCCCTGTCAGTCAGTCAGCACAAGACAAACACAGCAGTCCGTAAGCGTAAGCCATGGCGTGAAGCAAGCGGAGTACGTACAGTAGAGTACAGTAGAGCGCAGCAGTACGTACTCCTTCCGATCCGAATTACTTGTGGGAGGTATGGATGTATCTAGATGTATTCTAGTTTTAAAAACATTCATTACTGCGACAAGTAATCTGGACCGGATGGAGTAGTAGTATAAAAGTGGAGAGGAGCAGTATGGGCATGGTGAGAGGCGTGGCACGCCGCTGAAACAGTGGAGACGTGACGCGGCACTGCACGGTGGACTTGTGGGCGTACTCCACTCCACTCCACTCCTGGGGGACACGAGGCTGTGCGTGCTCGGGGGGTCCTACGCCGGCCGGCAAGCGGCAACGATGTGACATGAGCGAGTGCGTGGCGTGGCTTAGGGATCAACCATGTACTATGTCCCCGTCCCGAATCTCCACGCGCCCGCCCCAAAGGATGACGGGCGGGCCTACCTGCTCCTCCTCGGTTCCGTGCATGGCATGGCATGGCATGGCGCAGCTACTAGTACTAGTAGGAGGTAGGGGTGATTTCGCAGGGACCGAGGCCCGTCCCTTCCCGTCTTGTGTTGGATTCAGTGAGCGAGGCGAGGCCGAGGCCGAGGTAAAAATAAAAATAATAAACTACTACTAATGTACTCTCTTGTTCACATATATAATTCCGAACAGGGAATTCCAAGTAATTCCGAACGGAACGGAGGGAGTACATACATAACCCGTGGACGACAAGAACAGGGAATTACTAGTGCCCCCCTAAGTGCTGTTGTAAAAAAAAAAACTGTGGAGGACAAGGAATTTAGCACTAATCGAGGTCCCAGGAATGAATGGATGGATGAACGGCGTTGTGCTCGTCCCGTTTTCATAGATTGTCCGTGGTTGCAAAACGCCACAAGAGAGATGCTGACGATTTATTTGCCAAAATGGGTGGAAATCTAAAAGATAGCATATGAGATGGTTCAAGTCATTTCAAATTAAAGTGGCGACTCCTGCTACACTACCAGGAGAGGAGAGATACGCTAAATCATCATTATCTCCCTAGCTAGAAGCGGAAAGAAAGACAGTGCAGAGATCAAGAGAAAGAGAGAGGGAGACTTACAAGTCAGTCAGAGGGGGCGGACGCGAGCGGAGGAGAGCGCCATTGTTGTTCCCCTCCCCGGCAGGCGCAGGCGGAAGCACCCCCTTCCTTTCCTCTTCTTCTTTCTTGATCTGATGAGTAGTCCTCTTCTTCTTCTTCTGTTACTACTACTGGACAGTGGACACAGCAGAGAGAGAAAGAATAAGACTAGCCGAGCTGAGCCCTGCCCTGCATATATATATAAATATATACAGGGGCTCCTGACTTGTGTCGTCCAAGCCAACCTTCCTTCGGCCCCGTACTTCATCCCATCCGTCCACGTGTCCAACGGGCGGCCCGGATGAGACCTGGTGCTCGCTGGGTAGTTGACCGGGGGCAGTGAATGTAATTAATTGCAAAGCACTTCCGATGAGGAGTAGAAATAGTAGAAGAAAATCCAACCAACCTACCGCCAAAATCAACCATCATCCGTTACAGGACGACTTCCTTTATTAAGGGCGCCATTTATTTTATACAAACGGGACGGGGTGGTTGCGAACCGAGTCCCCGGGCCGGGATTCCAATTTCGAAATCGGATCTCGCCAAACTTGCTCAACAAGTATGACTGTAGTGCCGGCGTTGGCAACCACTCCAGGTGCGAGATTTCAATGACCGTAGAAAATGCCTTGCAACAAAGTCATTTCTGAAAGAAGAAAAAAACCACTGTCAAATGGGCTTATCATTCAACAGGGCTGGAACTTGAACTTGTTGCAGATGAGGATTCGAGCCGGGTTCCCAACCAGAACTGGGCGTCAGTTCAAATTTCCTGAATAAATCTGGTGAGTGCTGGCATTGGCAACCACTCTGGATATGGATCTTCTATCGCTGTACAAACAAACTGTGAAATGGGCGCAAGATTATACACATGGAGCTTCGACACTTAGTAGTTGCTACGTATATCATGTACATACACATGTCAGGCTAAAACATGGTGTCGACTAGTATAATTAGGGAAGACATTAGTGTCACTGTCAAAACAAAGGGAAGACGTTAGTGTCTGCTAATAATTAACTAATGTCTCAGCTCAGGGGGCGCCACAACCGATAAACGGCAAATCGGAATCAAAAAGTTGGAAACATGATACAACATCATCCCCTTGGGGAGAATCTCATCCTTCTGTGGGCTGTTTGTGACCCCTACGGACGATCTCTACTATGCGCGCTTTTCGTGTTATCTTCCCCATCGTCCTCAGCCTCGCACTGCCCTGACTCAGGCCCAGAGACCTCGCCGGGGCTGCGCTTCTGGCCGTCCTCCCCTGCGCCATTGTCGGAGTCCATCGGCACCGCGCCTTCCTCCTGGTCGCCCCCGCTGCCGCCACCGTCCGTCTCGGGCGTGGCCGCGGCAACCTTCACGCAGCCAAGGCATAAGATGCATATTACGGGTTATGGTAGCCCAGATATGCGCCAGATGATGCCCTAGGTACCTGTGGCTCCCTGGGGTGAGCTGAAGTGCCTTTTGTGTCTTCCCGTTTAGGCCGTTTGGCCTTCTCCCCGGGCTTTGAATTGAATTTGGCGCGCACGTCGGGTGGCAACAGCTCGGGAGGTACAACCCCTTCGATCCCGTAGTCACAAAACTGAAATAGGGCGGTAAGCATTAGTTAGCTGATGATAAAACATGGCAAACTATACATGGATTTTGTGCTCACAGGCTCATGGAAGTTTAAAATGGTATTTTCATTTATTTATTTTTCTGAGAAAGCATGTGAACTAGCAAAAAATTATGCAGAATATGCCCATTGGTCAGCTGTATAAAAGACATGACGAATGACTTCCTGGACAAATATGATTTGGTTTCTCCTGTAGAGCACATGAGCATTCATAATGTTTCTGCACAATGTTTGCTGGCACACATATTTTTACGCAAATACACATTTTTCTGAAATTTCAAATAAAAGTTCTTCATTCAGGAACATGTGCATGATCTACAATGATGAAAATTATGCATGTAAGAGAGACTGTAATAGTTACGTACTCGAGAAAATCCTTCCAGATCTTGTCGGGCTTGAAACCGTAAACCTTTCCAACAATAAACCTGTTAAACAAATGCGGCTTTTAAGACCACCAAACATATTAAAAAGAAAAATGCAATGCTGTTTCCGACGCCAGGTCATATAGGCAAACCCAAAAATAACACTATTGAAATCAGTGTCCATGAAATGAGGACTTCATTCCATGAGCACTCCACTGAGCCACTGATAAGAGCTCAGGGCCTTTTGTTTCTGCCTAATGCGATTTGAACCATCCCTGTCTTGGTGTGGGACAAGACCCGTTACCAGTCCAGAACTACGTCAACAACATTCTGTTCTCTACAAAGAACAGTTCATAACAGCATTGCGTCAGGTAGATCATGGGCTGAGAAGACCTGATATACACATGCCTGCTTCCAAGTGTTCTTTTAACATGAAACATGTAGGCACAATAAAGCATTAAATTCCAGCTTAATCCCCATACATATCAGCAAATATGGAAAGGGAGAATTTCTATGCCATCTGCATAAATGGTCATAACACAAAGATTATTTTTATCAATTTTTTTAGCAAAACTTCTTTGGAAGAATAATATGATTTCGTTCAATGGATAGCTGGGTCCAATTTAATAGATCCTTTGCATCACCTTGAATTTTAGGTATGGATGACTTACGCACAAATATTAACTAATTGGGATCCAGCAGGGTTCTTCATCAGAAACTTCTAGTACAGCAGGCACTCAAGACAAATAAGGCTGGGATTTGAACTTACGCGGTTATTTTTGTGATGATACTCCTCCTCAATTCCAGCAGATGTGTCCATCTGCAAATTTACATTGAAAAGTCAGTATTCGAGGACTATCCTAATAAGTTACCGTACATAAAAAAAGGATGAATGAATCAGAGGTGAAAAATAAAAATGGAAGAAAAACTAAAGTGCTTACATCTTCTGCAAGTGGTTTCCAATATTCTGTAACGGATGGCATGCGGATTCGGTCAGAATCAGTCAAAGCATCCTGCAGTTCCAATGCAAATGAGATGTGGGTTCCACAAGAAACTTCAAAAACTGTATGGCCAGAAAAAAGGTAACTCAAGGCACATACAGGTAATTGGATGATTATTTATCAATACTGTGTAGGCCATTCAACTAACAGGGCAGTAGCTTGCAGCAAATTTGTACAAGGCCGCTGTCCTGCTGAAATGTCCCCACTCAAACTCATATTTCTTATAAAAGTAAATTTGTACAGTAAGAAAAAGTAAGTTCTTCGATACTCTACCAGTACGAAAAAAGATTGCAGTTATATGTTATAGTACCCAATCAAATAGGATAATAATGTAAAGTTGTAGCTTAAAACGTACAGGGTTTAATTCTGCCCATTTCCACAGTTGAGCAAGTTCCTTGTTTCCCAATCTCCACCTTGGCTTACTACAATGAAAGAAAACAGAATAGTGAAAACAGCTTAAAATTAGTACAGTGAAAACAGCAGAGCACGAGATAATAAACTCTCATATTACAAGAGTGAAAACAGCTTAAAATTCTACAACCGACCTAGCCAGTATTGCACAACATAATAAGCTCTCAAATTACAAGAGTGAAAACAGCTTAAAATCTATAACTGACCTAACCAAAATTTACTGTTGCCCTATATCTTCATTTTATCACAAAATAAGACTACTAAATTTAGGATTTATACTACAAAAGAACTGGTACGGAAATAGGAAATGTGTTAGGTC